AAGATTCGTTTAATTGATTGTGTTCATTTACTTCAATATTAAGTGATCAAGAGAAATTATGTATTCAACAACAATTGTTTCGAAATTTCCGGCCGTGCATCACTGACTCCTCAAAAAAATGAGACCGTGGTCATTTAATTAATTATTCGATTAATGAAAAATTTACGAATATGACTGTGTTACCTGACGGTTGAAGTACACGGCTATGTGGCGGATAATCAAACCGTTGCCTTTAGCGTCCAAATCACATTCTGCTCCGATCTTCAAAGGATTAATGTGGTCGCAGAACGCAGTAGCAAGACACGTCACAATTAATTTACAGCGTATTTTTGAATTTAATTGATTGGATAGCAGGACACTATGTTTTATAAGATTCTTGATTCAAATATTGAAACTGAATTGCTTCGAATTTCAGAAAATATTGATTATTATATTTAATTTAGTATATAGTAATGCGCAACAGTGTTTTGTGAGTAAGACACAATAATCCTCTGTCAATGTAAGAAGCTGGCTGCAGGACGCATCACACCATAGTTACACTCCATTAAATGATGATGACCAAGTCGCAGCTAAATTTAGATACAGAATGGCAACGAATATGAATGGGAGTTATAAAAGGTTGCCTATGACATTTTAAAGTACGGAACTAGCGATGCGACGACTGTACAGATAAAGATTTCATGGCACATTATTGCAAAAGTTAAACACCGTGCGAAACAACTGATTTCGCCATATTTTTATATTCAATGGCGTTCGGTCTACTGTAATATTTCAAACTTGTTTTCCAATCAATGTTTGCTTCTTGACTAATCTGGTGGTTTTGCTGAATTATTTGGTTCCCTAGTTGTACTCAATTCCAGCCACGCCTAATAAATTGTTCGATGATGCAAGGCATATGGGTTCATAACTGCGGTTTCGGCGTTTTGGCACAAGCAACTGTCATCGTTCATCCAATAAACGATTCGAGCTATCTCCTTTTGGTGGTATGCGCTGGTTACACCAAAATTCAGTTACTTTGCTGGAAGTTTCAAAGGCTGTCAATTAACCAGATATAAAGCCATGAATCATTTCATCTTTTAAATGAGCAGACACCAGTGCTAGTAAGCTTCAGGTATTCGTCTTTCGAAAACATT